GCCTAGAGAGGCCCTTGAGTGAAGCTGTAGCCTGGATTGCACTGGAAACCTCAACATTTTAGAAATGGCACAGTCATGGGACACCTGCCAAGGAGAGCTGCTAACAGGAAGTAGAACCAGCCCAAGAAAGTGTGTTGTAGTCAACATATCTGAAAAGAATTGGAGGGCTGAAGAGTGCTTTGATGTTAAGACATGGATGCAGAATTTGGAGTTTGCCCTGCTGGGTTTTGGTTTTGCTTTGGTCCAGTATGTCCTCACTATACATTCTTTCCTCTTTTTTGGAATGATAATGTACATCCTGTGCCATTATATATTGGAAGTCTGTGATCCGCTTTTTTATTTTATAGGGTATTACAGTTAAAGAGATTGCCTTGAGTCTCAGAAGAGACTTTGGGTGTTCAGTCTTAAGACTGAAAGACTATGGAGATGTTTGAAGTTGGACTTGATGCATTTTGCTACATGCTACGGGTGCCAGGGAGTGGAATGTGGTAGCTTGAATGAGAATGCCCCCATAGGTTCATACATTTGCATGTTTATTAGTACCCAGTTGATGATCTGTTTGGAAAAGATTAGGAGGTATGGCCTTGTTGGAGTAGGTGTGTTCTTATTGGAGAAGGAGGGTTGCTGGGTGAGGGTTTTGAGGTTTCAAAACTCTCAGCTACTGCTCCAGGTTGTAAAATTCTCAGCTGATGCCTGCCTGCCCGTTGTCATCCTTCATGACAATAGAAAAGAAACTGAAACATTAGTCTACTTTTTTCATATACACAATAGTCAAAGTTTTTAGTTTTCATAATTTGGGCATGGATTGGTATATCTTCAAGGGAAACATGGTGGCTTCTAGCACAAGTCAAAAGTGGATTACTTACGCAAACTCTGACAGTGCAGAGGAATCTATGTGACAGTGACATCATCACACCTTCTAGAGACTCAGATTTTCCCAACTGGGGCCTAGACTTGGCAAAACAGACTTGCCTCCACACACCTTGCGTATCTACACCGTGCACTAGTATATATGGTTGAATTGTGCACCTCCAACCATTATACCACCATGGACAACTGGTATTGGTAGAGAAAAGAGGGAAGGGAAGAAGGTGGCTAGGGAAAGTCTTAGACATTCTCTGGTTCAGTTATAAGAGTTTCTTCAGCAAAGGAAGTGGGCAGTCTTTGAGGTCCAGCTCCCTAAGGTGTGTCTGTCTCAATGTCTTTGTGATGCCCAATCACTGGTAGATAGGAACAGCATGTTGGGAAGAATGGCCTCATGTGCATGAAGTGGTTGCTCCACAGTATATAGCCATCAGCCATTATGTCCCTTTGAAAGGAAATGTGAGAAGCGTGTTTCCACAACTCCAATAGATATGTGCTGAGTTGGCAACTTTTCTACCACTGCAGTAGTGCTCCAGCATCATATCCTTCCTGAGCAGCTTCCCTCCTCTCCCAGTGCTCTACCTTTCAATCTCAACACCATTCTTCCACGGTTTTATATGACTCCAGACTTTCCTAAAATGCTAATCTTTTTTTTCAGGTTACATTGGACATGGATATATCCCGATCTTTAATTAATTCCTATGCTGAAAAATTCTGTTTTTTTTTTTCCTCATGACTAAAGACATGCCTTAAATCATTTGGGTGGCCAGAATAAATGGTTGGCTAATTACTTATTTGGGGAATGTTTCTTCCCTGTTCTTCAATGGCCAAATCTTTTCATTGAAACCATTAGTTCTCCTATTTCCTCTCCCCACGCCACACACTTAGGCATGAAACATCTTTGGAGAACACAAAACAGATGTTGCAAATATAATCACATGTCACATTACAACACTTTGGTCACGAAGTGTATATACATCAGGATGCCAAGGCCATCTACCACAAAGCATTGCTCATCTATTTGTGATGGTGCTGGACAAGCCTACTGTACTACCAGTCACACAGCACAGGGCTGGGGATATGCTCAGTGGCAGAGTGCTGCATTTGATTCCCAGAAGCACAGAAAGGTCTGTGATACTTAATAATGATAATAACTGTCACTGCTTTATCTAGGGTTGACTAGATAACTTTTTATCACTAATGTGTATTACTTTTATTTATAAGAAAGTTTTAGTTTAAAGCAGTATGCCCATTATGTGGGCAGCAGGCCCATAGGCCCTGTATTCATGGTAGCCTTGACTGCAGCAGTGCAGAGAAATCTATGTGACAATAACATCATCACACCTTCTAGAGACTCAGCCGCTTAGCTTTGTGTGAGTGCACCCTATGATGCTTGTAAGATGGCATAATCATCTGTGGTACATTTCTCAGAGTGCAGAGCCACAAGAACAGACTATTGGGCTAAAATAAAACTTCTTTGATTTAAACAAAGAAAAAGAAAAAACCAGGAATAGAATTGATGAATGAATGTTCCTACTCACAGAGATCAGAAGAGAGACTGATGAAGATGAGATGGAGAGAAGGAAGGACATGTAAAAATTTTATTTCCACAGCTCAATATGTATGTACCCAATTTGGAAACTTGTAGTCTCAGGTTTTAATGAAGAGGTCATCACCCTGATAGAATCTAAAACACTGAACAAGTCATGGTGTCACACCTGGTATTTAACGATATTTCAGAAGAAATTTCACATTATATTTATGTTTTGTTCAACAAAATAAATTTAATATCTTTCACCAGAAATTATTAAACAATAAATATAACATTTAGAACATTCATTTCCATGGGAGTCTTTAGAGCTGCATGGTTCTAGAACGGTGGGACACTATCCAGTATGACACCCATACAGTGACATGAATAAACACTGACAGATATGACAAAACAGGCTATGTTTCCTTGAAGAGCTGATAGGTCACACAACATAAGCATAAGGTTGAACTATACAAAAAAGCTATGTCCACACGCTCCACAAAATTTCATGCAATCAAATTTATAAACATGTTCCATTTGGTAATAAACTTGAGCTGTGTGAACTAACATTTGAAACTTCATTGAGGGATTTAGCAATGTTGAAACTTTACTCAGCACTGTCCAATAATGTGTCTTTCAACTGGAAGCAGGTGGATTTACTAGTCACTTGAAGAACATACAACCACAAAGCCAAGGTTGTTGGAATCTCATGAAGTGATTAAGTTGTAGCTAGGAAAGAAACAAAACTACAAATTATTGTACGGGCCTTACGTTCATGAGAATTTTGTATATTCCTATTTTGTAATGGCCTTGTAAGAGAAATGAGGAAACTCACCCTCCTACTGATGCCATCCCAGCTCATGCTCTGGTCTAAAATACACCCTCCTTACACTGCTCTTGCCTCAGTCTCTCATTTACAAAAATCTAATTGTCTTTCCTAAGACTGGCCTTCCCTCTATTACTTTCCAAATCTCAGAAAACTGGAAGAAATCTCCCCCTGCATGTGAACTGGGGTCATGTGGTTGGGAAACCAGGGGCCACTAAAAAGAAAGGGGAGGAGATGATATGCTCAGTGTAAAATATAGACTATTAAAGCATCTATGGAATAGTTGGCAATATCAGAGGTCATGGGTAGGATAGAAATAGTGGCTAAGGCTATGAAGAACAGTGAGTTGTTTGGAAGTGAATATGCGAAGAGATAATAGGACAAGTAACAACTTCCAAGGAAGCAAGACAACAACTTAAAATGAACAGGAAATGCAGTCAGAGAGACAGGATGAGAATCACAACACAGACTGCAGGATACTAAGAGAGGAGTAGTGAGGTTGACTCACGTATGACAGCACATTCCAAGAGAAAGAGAATGAAGCAGAGACATATAAAAGAAGAAAAGTCATGCACTCACATTTTTCTATATATGTGTGTGTATGTATACATATATATATATATGTATATATATATGTGTGTGTGTCTATATACATATACATACGTACATATATCATGGAGATGAGATCATGTGGAGAATAGTTTCAAGGGCATGATAGAGATGGGGCCTAAGTGAAAATTTTAATGTCAAAAAATATTTAACGAGGTGTGCTATGTGACACATACTAGCTTAAGGAAGGAAGTAGATTAGAAGTGACAATGGGGCTAAACCAAAGATTAGAGAAAGCAGGATACAAAGGGAGGGGAAGATCTGTTCAGTTATTTCAATGGGTTCTCACCAGAGAAGACAGGAAGATTCACATTCATTTTGTATTAACTCGAATCTAGAAACAATATAAGAGAAGTTCAAGTTGGTCTGTAACACTTATTTTTGTCAACAAATACATATTAAGAGGTAAAAATTACATTACACTTTTGTAACATATTAGCTTTATTAAACAGTTATATAATATAGTTCAAAACTTAAGGTAAAATAACAAATGTCAAAGATACCTTTTATTTATGTTATTTTGGATATTAAGCAAGCAAATAATTTTTACCAGATGATTTTGGATTCATGGAAGGCTGAGGTTCAAAAGACTCTGCCAAGTTCAGGGGCCACAGTGAGTAGAACACTGCCAAGCTTCTCTGTACATTGCTGTTCAAATACCTTTTTCTGAAAACCTGCAACTTTTCATTATTTTACCAGTTACTAAACACTAGTGCAGTTTTAGAACAAGATTCAATTTGTAAGTTGTTTTCCAAGAATGGTATTGTACCAAGGTCAGAGTTTGTTAAATAAATTACACTAGAATGCAGCATCCATGGAAAGGAAACGACAAGAAGTTGGATAGAATGTGTAGTTTTATATTACAGTTAACATGTTCTTCACCAGTATGTGTGTTTTTAAATTTGTGTTTAAAGACTGACATTCAAATATATATTTAATGGACATGTGTGTTCTGTGCTCAGAAAATTCCAGCCAGTGCTTGCCTTCTGCACCCTTATGCCCACATAAACACTCAGGGTCTACCCTACATGCCCTGCCTGAGCATGGGTTTATGCTTTTAATTGCTCCTATACTTTAAAATTGGCAGTTAGGAAATCTAATGCAATCCAAGGTTAGCTACAATGTTTATATAACCCAGTTTTTTATAAAATTGTAAATGTGTTGACTTACTTCACTGGATAAATTTTGGCACTTCAGTCTGCGTCTGAATTTTTCATTTTCTGCAATCATTTTGGAAATGACTTTTTGTACGTTTTTCCACACTAAGACCTTAAAAAGATAAACACAGTCAAGGAACACTGGGCACAAAAGTACAATGCCTTTTGATGGAGGTAATCAAGGGTGACTCTGCTGGGCTGCATGTTAGTCACCCTCACCAGTGTGAAGCAATGCACCCAGCAACTATCCTGCCAATGACCTCAGTGGCCCTAACTTGTCTGACCTCTTCTTTTTCAGTTTTCTCAAGTTCCCTTTCTGCTGCATTTAAATGAGTTCTCCTGGATGATGTTGCCTTTCAAAAGAAGAAAATAATGTTTGTAAAGTCTTGCTAGTCTTTCAATTTTCAAAAGGCACTAAAAATATTGAATTTCTATTCCTGTTCATGCAGGGCAGAAATTCATTTATAATGTGTTTTATTCTAGACAAGAATTAACTAGTTCTCCTAGGAGACAGTCAGGCAGTTACCAGAGATTATGAATATACTAGAGTAAGAAAAAAAACCCTATAAAATCAAGTAGCTACATCTAGATTTTATTTTTTTGCTACTTAGAGCTTGACATTTGACAAGCATTTAAATGTCATCTAGAAACATTTTCACACACTGAATAATGGGATGAAAGGCATGTATGCAAATCACTTACCCCAGAGCACAGCACATTAAGTTTAGAGGTAAGCACTAGCCATGTTCTTTCCTCCCTACCCAAAAGGAAATAGTTCTTGAAGGAAGCAGGTCTTAGCACAGTGGAAGACTGCTGGCTACTTCAGATGTATTTGGTACAAGGGTTAGTCGCCTTGGGCACTGTGTACAGCATGGGCTGTACACCAAACAAGCATGAATTTATGTGTCATGCTCAATTAACACATTCTTTAAAGTAAAATGGCAACACAGATTAGCACAGACACTTTTCTGAAATATGTTCAAAATTCTCAAGTTGCTATAACATTTGGCAACCAAAGATTCAGCAATATAGTTCACCTTTGTCATCTTTCTGGATAAAAAGTCACATACATTCTTTGCTTTGGAAAAACCAATATGACACCAATGTAGACAGATTCTTTCCTATGAAGTCTGTGATTTTCTTGCTATACTGTTTTATATTTAGCTACACTCTATGGAACATAGGTTATGCTTTGAAAAAAGTCTCCTGGCAGGTTATATTTTGATTAAAATGCATTTATACCTTCAAATACCAGATCTCTTTTCATAGTCAATAAATATTTCCAAACTCAGTTCCATTTTTACCAAGTTTCTTCTATTTTCTCCTTTCAGAAAATTAAGTTATTCAGGAGATGGAATTACTGTCATGTCCTAGAAACCTTCATACACTATAATCACAGAAAAAGATCTAAAATTTAAATGTTTCCTTTATAACAATGTACCTTTTTCCTTTCCTTCATTATTTTGGAGGCCTCATTCAGTGGTATGGGGAAATCAAACTCTTTAGCTGCATTTTTTTGGTTTAAACCTAATTTTTTAAGAAAAGAAATCAAAGTTAGTACATGTTTTAAGAAGTACTATCCTGAAAACAGAGGCCATAGTATGTCTCATAAGCTCTCTTTGGGGGATGTTTATGCTTGGTGCTATATCTCTGATCACTAGGTGACACCGCTTGTTGAAAACAACAGTAAGTATATGTTCCCTGGAGCCCTTTCTATCTGCTTTCCCTCTGCCTATGGCATATCTACTTTAACTCTCCTCACTTCATTTGTAACATACTACCTGGATTTCCTTTGCACAATCAACAGCTTTGCAGGGAACATTTAACAGATGTTCCCTGTTATGTTAAATGATGTAAATAGATTGGATCTTATAAACCATGCTGGGTTGTCACAGTTTGCTTGAGAAGTGTCTTTTCCTCTCTGGCAATCCAGTTTCTATTTTGTAGATACTAGGTACATAATGCATTACATTTGTTGAATGAACTAAAATGTGTTCTCAAATGGCATTTACTAATTTGTGAGGCACATGGCATTAATTCTGAGTGGGGCGCAGACATGGGATGATGGATCTTAATTAAGTCACATTGTGAGAAATTCATCCCGTTGCCAACTCTTCCAGTCTCCAGTAAAGGAGGAAGTGCGAGTTTGTCCACTTGTCATTTAGAGATCTTCAAGACTTGCTGCTTTTCCTTTATGACAGATACCTTCTAGCAGGAAGCCTATTTACTACAATTGGACAATGTTGTTTTGCTATTGTTAGCTTATAATTATTTTCTCTTTTTAGCAAACACACATAAATAGTGTTTTAATGAAATGTAGCTAAGAGGAGAAAATTACCTATTTAAATATAAACACACTGAGTAAACTAGCACATACATGCAGATATGGCATAAACTTTGAATGCCACAACTTTCATGGTGGTGTGTTTTCATCATTCCCAGTTTCCTACTTACAAGTCTTACCTAATCTGTACCTAGACTCCTTAAGGTTAAGATAGGGGCCATGAAGTCTGTCTGAAAATCCATCAAGAAGTGTAACACATGTGCACAAGGAAAACATTTCTTCCATCTCTCCCTGTACTTAGACTGGGCGCCAGTGTATGCTACACCATGGATTTAGTCCCCACCTAACACTTCTGACCTTCCTCTGGTTCTTGTTGCCCATGCTCTGATCCTATCAAGCTGTACTTGTAGCTCTTCCCTGGTCACTGGCAATCGTCATCCACCCTCAACAATATGCTCACACATTTCTCCACCTGTAACTTGTCCTTATCTCAGCCTCATGTGAAAATCTCAAATAGCTTTCTCCACCATGATGCTTTCCTTGACTCTGTTATCCTCAAATTATTACCATTTCCAAAGTATCCATCCACACACCTCCACAATAGCATTCCTCATCCTTAGTTATTTATAACCCATGACTATCTCCCAAGCACAGTGAAAGTCTTGCTGAGATGTTAGCTTTGCCTGCTGCTTATCCCTTGGCTTTCTAAACACCAGCACATCTAAGGATGGCTTACCAGCCTGACTTTCACAAGGTACCTGTCCCTGGTGACATCATCCCACCAATTAAACATCTTTAGAGATTATAGAAACGAAACTCACTCTACAGTTTAGTCAAAAGCTTGCTTTTCATTCATTCAGTAAACGTTTAGTACACTCTGTTAGTCATTCTTGTTCCTTCAAGCCCTCTGGGCTCTCAGTGCCAACACTGACTGGGTGCTTATTCCACACCACACACCAAATTAGGTGCTGTGCACATGCTGCTTCCACTAATCTTCACAGAAACCTCTGAAGGTGGAATTAAATCACTTGAAAGGTGATTAATTAAAGAATCAAATTGGATAGCTAAAATGGGCAATATTATATTTCCAGTAATTAACATAGCCCATGGTTGTCTTTCTGACTTCAAAGCCAGAGTTCTTAATAATCTCTACTGTCCCACCAGAAATTTCTCCATTTTTGTCCTCTTGAATTTCTGTCTTGTGCCCCTTTCTGTCTCTGAACTTGATTGTCGAAGTCTTACCAGGTATCTTTCTTATAACACTCACACCTGCTGACTTATATACTCATTATTTACATGTGAGTCCTTTGAGTACAGAATAGTCACCTGATCCATCTTGTCATTAGTGTTTGACCTAATGTCTACAACATGGTAGATGCTAAATATTGTGAAATGTATGAATAATTCATTTTTGTTTCCCATAGACACCTAATAAATGTTTATTTAAAATCAAATATAACCAAGACTGAGTAAACCTAAGTACTTTACACTCTTTGCTTAGCTTAGGTGCATGTCTATCTCAGGGCACCCTTCCTTTGAATGCATTCCTGGTTTTAGAAGTTCAGCGAGGAGGTCATGGAAATTAATGATTTTCCTATTCACACAGTGGCCCAGTACAGATAAGTTAGCCACAGCCTCAACTCTTCCTTTTCCCTTCCAGTCAGTTATCAGTTCTGTCCATTTACTCCTACAGCTTTAATTCTGGCTTTTCAATTTCTACTGGACTACTACCACTGCCTTGAAGCTGTTTTCTAGCCTCTTATCAGCTACAAAGCCAAATTAAATCCATCCTCTATCTGAAAATATGAAATAAATAACAAAGCAGATCAGAACAGGAAGTACAGAGAAGATATTTAAGTATGTAATCTAAAGGACCAATTTCCACACAGTGTACCAAGCAAGCACTTAGATGGGACAGACAAAGGTAAAGAGGGAAAGCAGGATTCTGGAGGAAAGTCTTTCAGGCATGGCTTCTGGAAGTGGAGAGAGGGAAAGGTCACAGACTGAGTTACAAAGAAAACATCAGACAGTAGAGACACTAGGAATACCATTCTCTGATCACCATGCAATAAAAATAGAAAGCACTAACAAAACCAAAAAAAAAAAAAAAAAAGGAAGGTCCCAGGATTTAAAACCTTTAAAATATGTTAATCAGTATCAGTGTGACATGAATAAGCAGAATTGAAATTATAGAATGCTTTAAAAATCGACAGTGAAAGTATTACATCTTGAGATGTGTGGGTGGTACTAGGAGTGGTTAAAACAAATTCACCATACTAAATACTTCCTGATTTTAAAAAGTAAATGAAATGCCTGATTTTCAATCTACATTTTCAACACAATCCTGATAAAAATTCTGATGATATTCTTCATAGAAGTAGAAAACAGCAATATTAAAACTCATTTGAAAGCACAAAGTATCCAGAAGAAGCAAAGCAATCCTGAACAAAAACAGAATAATGCTGAAACATAACTAACACTAAGTCATGTGACAGAAACAGCATGGTCCTAAAGACATATAAAATGACAGAACTGAACAGTAAATCCAGCTAGAAGCCAACACAGCTAGTCACTGACTTTTGAGAAAGATGGAAAAAAACAGCCTTGGAGAAAAGACAGCCTTACCTGCAAATGGTGCTGGGAGAAATGAGATGCCCACATATAGAAGAAAGAAACTAGCCCTCATTTTTTACCCTATACAAAAAATTAACTCCAAATGGGGTAACCTTAATGTAAGAAAAAGTAGAGAATGTAATTCAAGATATAGGTATAGGAAAGGACTTTCTGAATAGGACCCCAGTTGAAAAGAGAAATCTTTTGTGTAACAAAGGGAACAGTTGAGTAAAGAGAGAGCCCACAGACTAGAGGAAATCTTTGTCAGCTGCATATCTGAGAGGATTAGTAAGTAGAAAACACAAAGAGCTTAAAAAAACAAAAAACAAACAAACAAACAAACAAACAACCTGACTAATAAAAAAAAACCCAAAAATGAAATAATGAAAGGAAAAGAATTCAGAAAGGAGGAAATAGAAATCATCAATAAACATAAGAAAACTATTTAATCTCACTAGCCATTGGAGAAATTCCAATTAAAATCACATTGGCATTACATATTACCCTAGTATGAATGTCAATCATTAAGAAAGCAACAGGGTTGGCAAAGTGGTTCAGAAGGTAAAGACCCCTTGCTGCCGAGCCTGCCAGACTGTGTGTGATTCCTGAGGCCCACATGGCAGGAGAGAACTGACTCCTACAAGTTGTTTCCTAATGCACACATATGTAGATAAATGCATGGATGGATAAATTTAACAAAAATTTAAGAGAAAAACAACAATAAATTCTGGCACACATGTGGACAGATGTGATACTTATCAACATCTGGTGGGAATGTAAACTAGTCCAAATTCTATAGAAATGAGTATGAAGGTGCCTCAAAAAATTAAAAAATGGATATATCATATAGCCATGCTATACCCTTCCTGAGTCTTTACCCAGAAGATCAAGGTCAACATAGCCTGGAAACACTTGAACATCAATGTTTATGCAAAGGTATTCATAATAGCTATGTTATGGAAAAAACCTTGGTGTCCGACAACAGACTTTTTTTATCCATAGAAAAATAAAGTTATGTTGTTTTCAGGGAAATGGATTCAACTGGACACAATCTCAGAAAGACTCATATTACATGCTTTCTTTTACTTGTCATCCCTAGATTTTATATAGTCACATAAAATCATGTATATAGATTAAATGGGAATAAGCAAAATTGTCTAAGGGAATAAATGAAGGGTTGAAAGAAGGGAAAACAGAAGGAAACTGAGTAAGGGGTTAGGGTTATATTCAATATATAATTTATATCTATAAGAAAAAATTAAAGTGTATTTTGAAATTATTAAAAAATAAAAATTAACGCCCAATTTTTAGTATAAAGAGTATACCAATAGAAAGCGAAAGAAAGAAAATAAGGTTAAGAAGTTGGTATTTTATGAGGAAGAAACAAAAAATGCTTAATAAATCAAAATCTTGTTTTAAAAATAAACAAAATACTAATGTCATCAGTACAAAGGGAGACAGTGCATGACTACATGCATAAAACAGAAACAAATTAAAGGAGGAATGGCCATTAAAGCTGGGTAAACTTGGGGCTGGAGGGATGGCTCAGAGGTTAAGAGCACTGCCTGTTCTTCCAAGGACCTGGGTTCAAATCCCAGCACCCACATGGCAGCTCACAACCATTTATAACTCCAGTTCCAGGGGATCCATCACCCTCACACAGAGAGACATGTAGGCAAAAACACCAATGCACATAAAAATAAGTAAATCATTTTTTAAAAGCTGGGTAAACTTAAAATTGAAATACATTAGTTTGCAAGCCTTAGTAGAAATGCCTGCAGAAACCTAGATGAAGTGTGTAATTGCTTAAGGAAATACATGTTCCTAAAAATTGACATCTCAGAGTCAGAAACTGTAAACAGACCAGTTTCTATGGCATAGAGAAAATTATTAAGAAATTGTCCCATGAAACCTGAGGCCCAGATGGTTTTACAGAAGAATTTTATCAAGACTATGTAGTTCCAATGTTCCATAAACTATTCCAGAACATAGAAAAGGAAGGAAAGATTCCCAATTACTTGTATGAAGTAGAATAACCCTGTTTAAATTAAGTAAAAAAATACAAAAAAGAAATACAGGTCACTACATCTCATGAACATCAATGAAAAAGTCTAAGCAACTTACTATTAGAGTCTGCCACTATATTAAAAAATAATAAAACACAAGAAAGTGAAATTTATTTCAACACTATAATGTTGGTTCACTATTTGGAAACCTATTTATTATATATATCACACTACACATTACTAATTCTAAGAAAAACATTATTATCTCCATAGATCATAGTCAACCTTTGACAAAATGTAAAGCCTGTTCATAATAAAAATATTAAATATAAGTAGATATACTTTTCTCTTTCTTTTTCTTTTTTTTTTTTGTTTGTTTTTCGAGACAGGGTTTCTCTGTGGCTTTGGAGGCTGTCCTGGAACTAGCTCTTGTAGACCAGGCTGGTCTCGAACTCACAGATCCACCTGCCTCTGCCTCCCGAGTGCTGGGATTAAAGGTGTGCACCACTAACGCCCAGCTTGATATACTTTTTCATACTCTAAATATATAGTTTTAGTCCTAAAACCAGTACTTTATTTAATGGAGAAACACTGGAGGCATTTCTCCTAATAATAGAGCAAGGTAAGGTGTCCATTATCTCTACAAATATTCACCCTGCACTGGAGGTATTAGACAGTATAATTAGACAAAAAATATGGTAGACTTAAAATGAATAAAAGAGAAATAAGATATCTCTATTTACAAATGACATATACCAGCTAGGCAATGGTGATGTACACCTTTAATCTCAGCACTTGGGAGGCAGAGGCAGTTAGATCTCTGTGAGTTCAAGGCCAGCATGGTATACATACTGATTTCCAGGCAAGGTGAAGATACATAGTAAGACCCTGTCTCCAAAAATAATTTCACAAGTAATATATACCTAGAAAATATATGAGAATTGGTGATGGAACTAACTACAATAATAAAAGTGGTCAGTGAATTAGTAGGATCTAAAATTAACTTGCAAAACTGAATGGGAAGAGAAGTCAGTCAGAAAAGCCCACCACCTATAAAGATTCCATTTAGATATGACCAAAATAAATAAATCTATGGAGACAGTGTAGATCAGTACTTGCTTAGGGCTAAGATTAGTGGGTAGTGGAGGCTATGGCAATGGGATATGATGCCTGCTAAGAGCTACAGAGTTTCTCTGTGATATAACAAGTATGCTAAAATAGATGGTAATGATGGTTCTACAACTCTGCAGATATGTAAGAACCATTAACTTGTGTACCATAAATGGGTGAATTGCATACATTGTTAATGAAATCTCAGTAAAGTTGCTTTTAAAAGTGTAGGTGTGCTGGGGATGGTGACATGTGCTTTTAATCCCTGTGTTTGGGAGGCAGAGGTACACACATATCTCTGTGAATATCAGGCCAGCCTTGAACAAATCAAATTCCAGGACAGCCAGGGCTGTAAAACAGAGAAACACTGTCTCAAACAAACAAACAAACAAACAAACAAACAAAAACAAAAACCAACCAACCAAGAGAAAAACCCAAGTATAGGTGTAAGGCTGAGCCCTCAAAGGAGTTGAGCTTTTTTGAGATGACTGCAATGTTCTATACCTTGACTGTGAAATATGAAGTATGCAATTTTGCAAACCTCTTCAAAAAACACATAAACTAATCCTTGCTAAAGATGATAGGATTCACATAGATTTCTAAATGCATTATGTAGTAAGGAGCCCCACTTACAGTTGGAAAGATTAAATACCAGGGAATAAACTTAACTAGATTTATGTAAAATCTATAATAAATAATTTTGTTTCAACCAGGGTTTCTCTGTGTAGCCCTGGCTGTCCTGGAACTCTCTATGTAGACCAGGCTGGCTTCAAATTCAGAGATTCACCTGTCTCAGCCTCCTTAATAATGAGGTTAAAAATGTGGGGCACCACATGAAAACATTTTTAAAAAATTATTTATTTAAAGCATTCCCAAGGGGCTGGGGAGATGGTCCAAAGGTTAAGAGAACTCTCTGCTCTTCCAGAGGTCCTGAGTTCAATTCCCAGCAACCACATTATAAAACCATCTATAATGAGATCTGGTATCATCTTCTGGTGTGCAGACATACATGCAGACAGAACACTGTCTATTTAATGAATAAATAAATCTTTTCTTTTCTTTTTTGTTTTAACAATGGTTTCTCTGTGTAACAGCTCTAGCAGTTCTGGAACTAGCGCTGTAGACTAGGCTGGCCTTGAACTCACAGAGATCTGACTGCCTCTGCAGTGCTGGGATTAAAGGGAATGTGACGCCGCCTGGGTAAATAAATCTTATTTAAAAATAATAAATTAGCAAATAAATAAAACATTACTGAAAGGTTCAAAAGTTGATTGAGCAAACAGAATTAATCTTCTGTGTTTTAAAAGGACGTTTCAACATCTTCTAAGATGTCTGTTCTACACGCACATACACATAAAATCAGGTAATTAGCAATTTATTTTTTATTTTTCTGTATGTGTATTGGTGTTTTGCTTGTGCACCACTTAGGTGCCTGATGCCCGAGGAGGCCAGAAGAGGGCATCAGATTCTCTGGAACTGGGGTTAGTTTTAAATTGCTATCTGGAAAAGTAACCAGTGCTCCTAACCCATTGAGCCATCTCTACAGCTCATGTAATTGGCAGTTTCAATAAATTTCAGAATAACCAACAAGCATGCCCAACTCCCATTCCTCTGAGGGACTGACATCGAAGAACTTTTCTCAGGTCTCTGGGTTATCTTAAGTGTCTTGCAGCCCCTTTTCGTGTCACCTATTAAGTAAGTTAGAGGGATTCTCCTAGTTTATGGCTCCAACACAGACTGCCAGGAGGGCCCAGCCTACTGACTGGAATGCTGTGTGAGTACTGACAGGAAAGCTGACATAAGGGATGACAGGAAGGCTGACACGAGGCCAGACCGAAGGCCGCGCTCACAAGATGGCCGCAGCCCACTCAGCACCAGCCCTCTGACAGGAGGATCCTCCACCTGCTCGCGCCGCTTGCTCCGGGCCCCTTGGCGCTCTCGACCTCCGCAGTTGGAAAGAGGTGGAGTAGTCCCGGGTGGCGGCGACCCCGGCGTGGGAGCCGGTGGGCAGCTCTTCTCCGGGGGCCCCCCTCTCCATTGCCGCTTGCTCCTTGGCCAAGCAGGCCTCGAGCCTTGGGACTTGGTGGCGGAGACCTCGGGGCCCCCTCAACTGCCACACGCCACACCGATGCGAGGCGAAGCGGGTCACGTAGATCAAGTCAGGCCTGTCCGGCCGGGGCTTACTAGAGGCCCACCCTCCAGCGAAGACATTGGGGCGGGGCGGGTGACTGGGGTCCAGAACACTATGGGAGCCTGGGTACTGGGTGGGAAGTTGAGGAGTGATTGGTTGTGGAGCTGGGAGGCCAGGGTTTGAGGTGAGGAAGGAATTAAGGAGATGAGAGACACGAGCAGCTTGCAGAAGACAGGAGCCTAGGGAGGACCCCTCTTCCAGAAATTGGGAGGCAACGAAAGTGGTAATGAAGGGGAAACAGGAAGGTCCTAAAGTGGGGAGGATGTCCATTCATCTAGAAAGATGAGGGGCATGTAAGAAATGTCAAATATGGTATTTTCTTTTTTTTATTTATTTTTATTTGAATTAGAAACAAGATTGTTTTACATGTCAATCCCAGTTCCCACTTCCTCCCCTCCTCCCCTACCTGCCCCCAACTAATATCCTACCTATCACATATCATTTCTTCTCCCCAGGGAAGGTGAGGCCTTCCATAGGGGGTCATCAGAGTCTATCATATCCTTTGGGATAGGGCCTAGGCCCACCCCTGTGTGTCTTGGCTCAGGGAGTATTTCTCTATATGGAATGGGCTCCCAAAATCCACACAATGATAGGCTAAGTACTGAACTACTACAGGAGGTCCCGCAGATTTCCGAGGTCTCCTCACTGAAACCCACGTTCCTGGGGTCTGGATCAGTCCCATGCTGGTATCTCAGCTATCAGTCTGGGGACCAAGAGTTCCCCGATGTTCAGGTTAGCTGTTTTTGTGGGTTTTACCAGTCTTGTCAGGACCCTTTTGCCCATCACTCGTTCTTCTCTGCAACTGGAGTTCAGTTCAGTGTTTAGCTGTGGGTGTCTGCTTCTACTTCCACCAGCTGCTGGATGAAGGATATAGGATGGCATATAAGACAGTCATCAATCTTATTATCAGGGGAGGGCATTTAAGGTAGCCTCTCCTCTGTTGCTTAGATTGTTAGTTGGTGTCATCTTTGTAGATCTCCAGACCTTTCCCTAGTGCCTGATTTCTTTGTAAACCTAAAACATCTCCCTCTATTATGGTATCTCCTTTCTTGTCTTCTTCTATTCTTCCTCTGACTAAACCTTTCTGCTCCCTCATGTCCTCCTCACCCTTTCTCTTCTCCCTTTCTCATTCTCCTAGCTCCCTCCTGCCTCCTCCTTTGCTCCCAATTTGCTCAAGAGATCTTGTCCCTTTCCCCTTCTCCAGGGGACCATGTATGTCTCTCTTAGGGTCCTCCTTGTTTACTAGCTTCTCTGGCAGTGTGGATTATAGGCTGGTTTTCCTTTACTCTATGTCTAAAATCCACATATAAGTGAGTACATACTACGTTTGTCTTTTTGTGATTGGATTACCTTGCTCAGAATGGTTTCTTCTAGTTCCATCCATTTTCCTGCAAATTTCAAGATTCCATTGCTTTTTTTCTGCTGAGTAGTACTCCATTGTGTAAATGTACCACATTTTCTCTATCCATTCTTCAGTTGAGGGGCATCTAGGTTGCTTCCAGGTTCTGGCTATTACAAATAGTACTGCTATGAACATTATTGAGCAGATGTCCTTGTTGTATGAATGTGCATCATTTGGGTATATGCCTAGGAGTGGAATTGCTGGATCTTGTGGTAGATTGATTCCCATTTTCCTGAGGAGTCGCCATACTGATTTCCAAAGTGGCTGTACAAGTTGGCACTCCCACCAGCAGTGGAGGAGTGTTCCCCTTTCTCCACTTCCTCTTTAG